ATTTTACCTTGCTCTGACAATTTGTAGGAAAACCCCACAAGGTTTGAGGGCTGCTTTCCTACCATTTTGATATTCTGTTCCTGAAGGGGGTCCATATTTAATTAAAGCATTGTTCTGGCAGAGCACAGAGAGTGTTCTGCATTGAACTTCCTAAGTACTTGTTCTTTAGAATCTGGTGGAGGAGGAGGTTGGTTAAAAATAACATGAAAGGATTCTTTTGAGCTCAAGTATTAGGAATGGAATGTTATCTACAGAATTTAAGTTTTCAAATTGTATTACAAATGACAGCTAACTGCTGTATTATTTTTTAGACTTAAGGGTTTGGTTTCTTTGGGGTTTTTTTCAGTTAGCTTTGGAAATTATTCCCCTCCTGTATTCAGTAATTTCCACCTTAGGTTTTACTGAGATTGTGCAAATTGTGCAATCATATGAGATACTTGATTCTGATGCAGTTTCTGTGACTGCTGAGCATTTTTATGTAACTATAATCTAACTCAAAGCTAAACCAACTTTTTAGCTTATTCAAAAGCAAGTAAAACTTAGTTCGCAACTAAAAAATAGTTTGCTTCAAGGATTAACATTAAATAAGATCTTAACATTAACTGAAAGTCTTAACAGGGACTGATATTACAGCCAGTTGCTTAAAAGAGCAGTAAAAGCACATAGTTCATCATGCTTCAGAAATCTGGCAAGCAGATCATCAGTGAAATTTTAACAGAATATTTCCTATTGCTAAATAGGAACATCTTTATCTTACTAGGAAAGAGTCTTTATTCCAAATCGGTACTATTGATTTTAAAATTCCTGCAATTGAAAAATGTGCATTAATTAATTTGCAATACTTAAATTTGGTGATGTGCTATAGAACAGTTTTGTTATTTAGTAAACAAAAGTCTGTGCAAGTCATACTTGGCAGGGGGTTAAAAATCTTCTGCCTACCAAGTGTGCAGGCAGGACAGGTTTGGCAAATAACTTTTTTGGAGGTTTTAATAGTTGTAAAAGTTACTCTGCTTATACTTGGGAAGTGATCATAAATTTTTTTCCATAACCAAGCACTGGGCTCTGGTGCTGCTGTTGGAAAACCCAGCCATCAGCAGGAGGGAAAGGGCATTTTGTGTGAGAGGTACTGCTGTAGGGAGGCACCATGGAAAATCGGGCACTGGAGAGAGGCACATCACATCCAAGTCACTTAGCCAACCCTTAGGCATCAATTTGAGATCTGTGCTCTAGATCCAGACTATTTATTCTAACCAATTAAGATGCACAATGCAATAAAATACATGTTAACATAAAGATCTTGTAAGAGTAAAAATTATACCTGTTATGTTCTCGTCTCTCCTTCTGAGATTCCACAGAATGTGCATTTGTGAAAATTATTTTTCTCACTCACTTTGAGGTCTTCCATTAAGGGGATGCTTTGCTGTGGTTTGTTGATTGGCAGATTGTTTTTGTAAGAGGCATCTCAACACTTGTAGGGTTCTGTTGTGATTGGAATAGTTCCTAATCCTTATTCAGGTCAACTTTGGACATTTTGGACAACTTTGAGCATGCCCAAATTCCACACTGTAGCTTTTCCATGCAGAGAAACTTACAAGACTCAAATTCTTTATGAATCCTTTGACATCTACTGCTTAAAAAACACTTGTCTAACTTATGTTTGTCTTCATGTTTAGAAGATGGTATTATTATCACATACTGTATTGAGGATCAACGTGACATTTGTAAGAAGATTCTTGAAAATGTGAAAATATTCACAAGGTAATTGTGGTGCAGATTGTGGGAGTATTTGATACTGATTTGAATTTGACTATCCAGGTATCATGCAACTGCATCATGTACAGTGCACTATTTATATGCTCAATTTATGTCATTTCTTCCTAGCAAACTTTCAGAATCTCAGCAGCAAGAATGGAAAAACATCTCAGCCCTGGCAAGAATTTTTATAGAGTAAGACTAAAGCACTTAAACAAGGCTCTGCAGGGAAACCTCTACTGCTGTTACTTGCACTAGGTGTGCCAAAGGAAGAGAAGATTTCTCTTAGTAGGACTGAACAAATACATGACCCAAGTTTTAGTGGTGGAAGTGCTTTATACCAGTAGAGTGAGAACACTGTAACAAAGGGAAACAGCAGAACACATTGGTACAGCTAACTGCTCCTTGTCATTTTATTGAACCTCCTGCTGCATGGATGCTGCTTTCCTAGTTCCAAGCAAAGAGTGCTCTGAACATACTATCTCAAATTGCAGTGAAGGTATGCAAAACCATAGTGACTGGCTGAGTTTTCCTGTTCTGTTTCAGTTAATCATCTCCCCATGTCTGTATGCTTTCATGTTAGCAGCTCTTACTGATAGAACTCAGAACTTCAACAAGGCAATACAGTATTTGAATACATAACATAGGGGTTTTTTATAGACAGACAGACATAGATATGTGAAAGGTGTGATGCTACACTTAGAAAATGAAATTAAGGACTGCAGGTGTATAGGCAGGCAACGCCATGCAACCGTAACCTCCAAGTTCTTACCTTTTGGAACACTAAGCAAAAGGTCCCATCTGCTTATCCAGTGCTTTTTCCAGAGAGGAAGATGGTGAGTTGCTTAGTGCTGATATATTTGGAGTTGAGCATAATGAGTAGCATTAAAATTGATGGTCTAAAAATAGGTAACTAACTGGATCCATGGGAGCTTACTCTCCACTGTTTATTTCTTACCAAAAAAGACAAATCCTACTACCCACATTTGATGGATTGTTCTGACTCAGATCTCTTACCTAGCACTATACAGGAGGTCAAAGCTCAGATTATCAAAGCTATATTTCTGATGGAGATACATTAATTGTGTTGGTTGCTTCCTGTAATCTGTTTCTGGAAGCCTCAAACCACAGATGCTGAAGTTTAAGTATTTTGACTAAAAAATATAAAATTTCATTAAACTATGTTCTCACAAGGTACCTCTCTGATTTCAGAAGTGTTACTGCCACTGTTTGCTTCCCTAAGTAATATATCAGGTAGGTGATTATTCATATACCAGGAAAAATATGAAGTCAGAATTTTTGTAAGTTTTAACCAGGAGAGAAAAGGCTGCCAGAATAACATCCTGTGTATTATCACATTCTCTGTATCTGGGGCTGTCAGACTGTTATAATGAGAATGGCAATTTCATGTTCAAGAGATCATTTTTGTTGTAAAATTGCAAATTCAAAGTGAAGAACCACATTGGATTTTTCTTCCATTTTTTTTACACTTTCAGGTGGATCTTACTCAGTTTGGCACATACAGTACCTCAAGAATATTTATTTCCTAACAAGTTCTTTGCTGTTAGACCTCTGTAGACAACTTACACTTCTCTGGCTGTTGGATGAATAGGCAAACTTGAGTTTTTCCACGTGCTTTATAGTTAAAATATACCAAATTTAAACTATGAACTGGCAAATATAGTTCCTAAAGTTCGATACTGAGATGATCTGTGTTCTGCTCACTTTTAATTATTTTTTAATGTAGTAGGAAAAATATTTTTAAAAGCTGTATCTGCAGTAGAGGTCTTAAGTTCCTTCCAGGTAAGTTATTAGTATACTGTTTCTTACTAAAAGAATTTTTTTTCCATATGGAATAGAGTGTGGTGTGGGCAGTTCAAGCTTCTAGATGACTGCCCTAAGAGTAAAGAAGAAGCTGAAAAAAGAAAACCCACACGTATTCCTTGTGTGCTGCTGGACTATGATTTGTGGCAGGGACATACTCTGCCAACACGGATGTGAGTAGCTGCTGTTGTTCCCCTGATGTTGGATATTGCATTTCTTTCCCCACTGGTTTTGTATTTTTATGGCTAAAGGAAAAAATTGTTTTAAAGTTATTGCATATTTTCTCAACTGTTTCATTTTGACTGATACCATATGAAGCACTTACATAGAAGAAGTCTACGGGGAGATAACTACACTAGTTTTCAGTGATGAGGTTTATCTGTATTTTAACAGTTAAACCCACTATGTTAATAAAACAACTTCTGAAAAATAATCCTGCTCAGTTTCAGTATTTTCCCTATACCTCGTATTTTAGAAGAAGACAGATAAGAATTAAAAAGCACAGCTCCATCTTGAATAAAGTAGGGAACTAATTCCCGGCTTATAAATGGATCTGGCAGTTCTCTATATGCTGTCTGCATTGCAAGGATAAGACTTAGTTACGAGCTACTGCAGTTGCTTCTGCCCAAATGTTCATTAATTTCCTGAAAACAAATCACTGCTCATGCCAGCATATGTCTTAAGTTTACTTGTAATTAAAAAAATTCTACCCAGCTTTATTGCTGGAGAGCAGGAAGGACATTATCATGTGCCCAGATACAGTATGTGCACCCTCAGGCAAGTTCATGGTCCTGGGCAAGCAGCCTCTGTTCTACTCTGCCTGCAGGATTCTGCAAATCCCAATTGTGAACACTGCTACATAAGATAAAGGGAAGCATATGATGGATGCTTCTCTTTTCCATCATTCCAGGGCTGGACATAGAGGGTTAATCTTTGCAAGAACTACTGAAAACAAGTTCACTGGTGTGTTGACTGATTAAAAATGACAAGTGTTTAGACAAGCAGCATTAACCTCCACAAATCCATGGATGTGTCTATCCCAATCACATTTACCAGTTTAAGACCACTGAATTATAAATGAGATGCCTGATGTAAGACAAATGAGTCTAAGAAATGCTACTCCAATATGTTAACCCAGTTTCTGATTGACAAGTCAGAAAGTGTGTACAGCTGATGCTTTGGGATCTTCCACTTCCCAGCTCCAAATGCAGGGGACTACACGATAAAATCCTTACCCCGTGAAGTTGCCTGTCTGTGAGATTGCTGCCATATTTAAATTGCAGGATGTGTTCGGAGATAAGCAATTAAGAACAAGAACAGAACAATTTTCTTTCACTTTCCTAATTGAAATTAAATTCTATTAAATATGAAGCAATGTTCTAGGTGAGATATTTTTGAAAGGAATTTGTTCTACAAAGTATAGATAGTATTTCTGTACCAAACATTTAATTGAACAAAGAATTGGTTACATCAAAAGTGATTGGATTTGAACAGAAAGTAAACAAAAATGCATATTCAAGATAGTTTAATATGTATTTTCTGAATTAGAAATATCACTTTCTTAAATGAATGAGAATTTCTAGTGTAATGATCCATTACTCCCCTCTCCCATCACTGAATTACATTATTTATACATATAATACAGAGCCGATTGCAGTTGGAAACAACAATATTAAAATAAATGTTTAATAGATACAAAGGATCTTTTTTCCACAACATAGTTTTTCTGGTGTCTGGACACCAATTTTAAAGTAATTCTCTATAAGCATTAAACTATTTAAGTGCAAAACAATTTTGTTTTAAAAAAATCTATGATTGCAGCATCCATCTTCCTGAAAAACATTTTGAAGCCAGAAAGTAATGACTTTCATTTTCCATGAGTGCATTCCAGGCTGTCTTCTAGCCATCTCTGGTTAAAAAAATCAGTGCAAAATAAACAATGGTGAAGTACTAGTTTAACCATTGAACTTACTTGAATTTAAGAAACATATCTTATTTTACACTATATATATATATATATATCTTATATATTTATAGAGAGATTAAATTACACTGGACTTGAAAAGTATAAAGAAAACAAAAATGTTACTACTTTTTCCTGCAGCACTAAAGGAAGCTTTTTGCTTTTTCTCCAATGCAAACTCTTCCTTGGGTGAGCAGCCTAGCAGGATCAGCTGTAGTGAGAACTCCTTACATTTGTCCTTTCCAAGTCACTATGTGATTCACATAATTCCATCTTTACACTCTGCCACATTATAATTTGTGATGCTCTTTGCCTGAAGAACAGCTCCTGGTTCCACTGTCATTACTTCTTGTCCTGCGTTCAGAGATTTGCTAGCAGTAGTGTGATGGCTATACTACAGTTCCACTTGGAGAATTGGCCTGGTTTTGGGATGACAATAAACCCTGCAAACAAAGCAGTTTACATTAATCCAGCAAGAGAACCTGATATGAATTTTATAAAGTTCTTAAACTGAACCTACAATGAGTACAGTTGATTTTTACCAACACCTGCTTACTTCAGACATCAGCACCTTCTCGCCTACAAAGGCTCTAAGTCACCACGGTCTCAGTCAAGCAGCACACAGAGCTCTCAGACGGGAAGAAACGTGTGCGTTTATGACACAGAATGGATCTGATCCCAGCATTTGGTTTAATCTACCTTGCACTTGGAGTCATAGTGAACTGTGAAACTTTAAAAATCATACACCAAAAAAGTGATCAGCATTTACTGGAGTGGTGTCAAACAAACCTATTCCAGTATCAATATGTTTGACACCAGACCTGATACAGGGAAACGCTCCATCTCTTCTATGTGATTGAGTATTACAGGCTTTGAATAGAAAAATAGATCGTCTAACCAAATATTTGTTTTGGTAATTTTAAAACAGAATGAAACGCTGACGAGAGTTCAGTAAAGATTTCCTATTACAATTTAAGTTCACACTTGGGAAAACTTGGTACCAGCTCTTCTAACTACCCTGCCATTCAAATCAAAAGACTTATTTATTTCACACACAGCCCCATGACTGTGCAGTGCCCCTCACTACACAGAGGCTGCTTCTCTGGATTAAGGCAACCACACCTTATGTATTAAACCTATGCATACCAATGGGCAGACTTCATTTCAGATTTATGCACAGTAGCCCCTTTTTAATCATTCACATCAAAGTAACTTCATCATGCTTATTTAGGAAAAGCTTATTGTCAAAATACAATTTAGCCTTCTTACAAGGTCATTAGTTCTACCGAGTGCCAGCATGCCAAGGAGCATGCTGGCAGCTGGAAGCACACTGGCAGCTGGAAGCACACCAGCAAGTATCCCCATGCAACTCCTCACCTCGTAGGTATGATAAATGCACTTTCAGCAAGTCCTCTAAGCAGCTCCCAGCTTATGGTCTTACCTCAAAATTAAGATCATGGGACTCAGATCCATCAAACTAGACAAGATCAGGCAGCAATTGGCATACAGACAGAAGACAGAATTATGTCACTTCTTCAGAATCTACAGGAGCTCTTTCACATTTGGATCCAAGAACTGAGAGGTCATGATGAGGGAAGTAAACCCTGACCTCAGAAGAGGTGGAAAGATGGGAAAGAGGGCCAGACTGACTGGATTAAAGTAATCAAACTTCTGTTAAAACCAAAGCCCTTCTTTTTAAAAAAATCATCATTTCAGACACGTCATGAACCTGGATAGTTTGGAGGATTTATGGCAGACTGTGTATTTGCATATGGTCCATATGACATTTAGATATAACAAAGCACATGGCACTTTTCTTGGTGCCTTCCACAGACCTCACCTGAAAGAACCTGAACACCTTTATTTGTTTAGGCAGGGAGTATCTGATTCAAACACTGATGAGGTAGACTGAAGTGGGTTGTTCTTTACACTTGACAATCAGGATGTGCAAGGATCCTGCATATTTCATGAGAACAAGAAGTTTCCTAGTTACTACTTAAGGACTAAATGGTGAAAGAAGGCAGAACTTTAGAGCAAACAAGACACTGAAGCACTTCTGAAATTTTTACCAGGGAAGTTTTGTTGGAAAGTGATATGGTTGAATCAGAATTCACTAGTTCATTACTGAAGAATTCTTCACAAGTCTATTAAATCCAGCAGCAACTGGAAGGTCTTTCTTGTCAGAAGATTACATCCACTAAGCAACTTTGAAGTACCCTGGAAAAAGACATCCAAAGGTATTATTTTCAGTCTTAATTTAATCAGCAGTCCAAACTGTTCATATGCAAATATGTGCTTTATAAGCACACAGGAAACTCTAGGGATGGTATAATGTCAAGTCTTTTTCAACAGGCTCATAACCACCCTATACAGGAGAAATTAGCCTTATTCTAGCATTGGATTTACACTGTAACACAACCAATTGCTGGGAAACAAAACAAAGAGTTACTTTCCTAGGATTCCTCTAGAAACTGGCAGCACATACTGGAAATTCAGTGCAGAGCCTTACTCCCTGTGAATTACCAGCCACTCTAGAATGCAAGTTCCAAGACTAGGAACAAGGAGTCAGTCCTGGTTACATTTCAGAGGCAGTGAATGCTCCCTGCTTTGAAGACCAGCAGCTCAGTGCAGATGGCTTTCAGTGAGTACTAGGAATTCCTTGTATTTCAGTCCTTGCTCTTAATTAATTCCGCAACTTTGAGCAGGCAAGCCAGAGGAACACCAAAGTGGAAATAACCTCAAGACCAATATCCTTTCCTCATGCAGATGGAACAAATGAATGCAAGTACTGCCTTAAAACTCAGACTAGGCTATGATGCCGTTCAGAAATTCACTCCCAGGGGAGAGATCATAAGGTTTGTGAGTTCTTCCAAGTACTTTATTTCAGAAGATATCTTAGATGTTCATACAAGAAAAGCAAGAGTATGAATTTGTTTTTTAGGCACGCAAGTTTCACCAAAGTGGAGAGTTCTCAGTGGGTCCTGATTAAAACAAAAATTCTACAGAATTTTGCCATTGTATCAGAGTGTTCCAAGCAAGGCTATTCAGAAGGTTGTGTTTGGTGTAACACAGGAGACATGGGAAAACAACCTAAGAAAATCAAGTGAGGGCTCAAATAAAGTTACTGTTTTGATACACAAACTCACACTAAGTCTCATCTGTGATACAAAGGGTGTGAGATTGGAACATCATAGTTACATCCTCTGCAAGAATATGATGGGTAAGGCAATGAAAAAATATTAAAAGCTCCTGCCTGTAAATAAAGAAGAAAGCCATTAGAGTAGAGTGCTTTCTGTGACAGAACCACCCAGTCTGGTCAATCAGGTGGGAAAAGATGGAACAAAAGCTGCAGCAAATTATTAGAGCAACAGCCAAGTCAGCCCATTTAACAGCTGTGACAGGAAACATGGAAGAGCAGAGCCACAACAGCTGCAGCTCTGCCGCATGGTGTAGCAGCTTCAGGCTTAAGGACAAATAAATCCCACTGAGCAAGCAGCAGGAACAAATTAAGACATTGCTCAAAGTTTTGTAAATAAATGTAGTGTTTTATTAGCAGTAGTATTTTGTCAGCATATGAGTCTAGCAGGTGTGGGAAATGGAAGAGTTATGCAAACCAAGACAAGAATTTAGTAAAGCAATATTCGTCCCAACCTCAGAGAGGGAGCTGCTGTCCCATCTGCCATCTTAATGGGACATTCCAGAGCTGAGCCATGCAGCTTTCAGAGGATGGGGTCATTTTTCTTAAGTCAATTAGTGCTGTGCGTATTGAACACAGGCTGCTTCAGCACTTGCTGCTAGGGCTATCCTGTTTATCCGTGCTTTCTCTGACTTCCTGAAACACAAAGGACTTTGCATATCTGGTAAAAATATGCTGGTTTGGGTAGGAATGAAAAGCCATGACAAATACAACCAGGAAGGCCATTTGCACCCAAAGTTCACGGCACTCATCGCTGGGATCTGTTTGCTGCAGCAGCATGAACACAAACACTCCTCCCCATTTAAGGGATTGTGAGGAGAGGGATATATTTTTAAGAATTCCACATATAATCCAGGCAAAAGTCTGGGGCTCTTTTGCAAAGACATGAAACATAAGGTTTCAGAAGAGAAACTAAATTTATGAATGATCAGCATGTAACTGCTGTATTAAAAAATCAAAAAAAAAAAAAAAATCAGGAAGATACTGCAATACTAAGTAATCAAAAAGTCAACAGTAGACACTGAGTTAATATTTTCTTAATTTAAATTAGAAGAGATTTAATTGGAGCCGAAAGTACAATCATACATAATTTCACTAATCTGGATAATAAATGGCAAGTTTGGACACGCAAGCAGGATACAGAAAGTGCATGTCTCCTTCAGGGAAACAGTTCCACTGGCACTCGGAACACACTGCATGTCAAACTCTGCTCATCTTCCTACTTTCTGGTTTGAAATTGAAAGGTAGAAAAAATAAAGGAAAGGGTCCAATGTAACAAGCAATTAAATGTAAAAAAGAAGTCTCATAGTACACTTCACTAATACAATTAAACTAATTAATGTATGTCTGAATTAACAAATGCCCATACAAGAATGGTACTGGTTTGTTAAACCATTTGTACTATTGCCAGTATATAAAATAATGGGAAATTATTATTTGAAAAATATTCCAGGACAGTTTATTCTTGACCAGAACTGTGATATTCCTGGAGTAATTAGGGTTACTAGGCAACTGGGGTTACAAAGTAATCTGGGCTGACAGCTTTGCTTGAGAAAAGAGCCCATGGTCCATTATGGTGTTTGAGCAATAATATGCCAAAACCAAAGTGAGATTTCTCACATTTGTTTAAAATTCTGTAGTTAAATCAGCTGAATTGGTTTTAAGATTTGGATGAACAAAATCTTCAAGTTTCTCATCCAAATGAATAAGTGTTTAACAGCAAAGATTTTTGAACTGCATATGCTCAATAAATTAGATATTAATCTCTCATGGAGTAATAAAATTAATTAACTGAAACTGCTAAAGAAAGCACATGCTGTACATTCATATAACATGCTACAGAAATATTTTATATGTGATTTAGGGGGATACAGCAAAGCTGATACCTGTCTTTACACAGTTTGTGTGTTCACTAAATGGTCTTTTAAATTTGTCTTCCATTTGCCTTTTTTTTTTCTTCTCTGTTCCGATAACATTACATGAAAGTATAAATACATAAACCATTTGACACCAGATCTGTAGCACCAAGACTGTAGCACCTTTAGGGTTTCACTTGCAACTTCTCCTCTGCGTATATAAAGAAGTTTTCTCTTAACAGAGGTCACTGTCAACCAAATTCAAGGCTGGCAGAAAACCATCAGTAGCTAAAAATCTGTCCAGTGGCACCAGGTGAATGGAAGATATGCAGGTCCAAGAGGGGAAAAAAAAAATTAAGATGCAACTACCTGGGTGCTTGAAAATGCACAAAATGCTTTTGCCAGCAGAAACCTGACCTGGCTTGAAAAATAGGACCTTAAGCTTCAATCAAGTAGTAAGGGCTTACATGCTTTAAAACTGTTGTTTTTCTACTTTCCTCAAACTACAAAATTTAGTAAGATGTAAAATTTTCAGTTTAGAAAATAATGAAATTGAGATAAACCAGGGAAAACCTCAGGGAAAAGCATATGACTTAAGGCAACCCCATGTGAATTAGCTGTAAAGTGACTGTGGTCTTAACAGAAGAAAGGAGCTAAATGAATTTGTTAAGATTGAGCAGCACCTACCTAAAATCCAGCTTAAAACCCCAGAAAATAATATGATCTTACAAGTTATTTCCTTGACAAGTTTATGCAACATTATTAAAGGCAAGTAAAATGACACCTTCACGTTTCAAGACAAATTTTGCCAAATACCTTCTCTGACCACAAAACCGGTGGAAGTTTCAGGCTCACACTGACTATTGAAAGTCAACAACCAGTTCTTGCATCATTTGATATAACTGGATATTCCAGAAGTGTTCAAGCAGATTACATTTTTGTTCCTTCACTAGCCTCTGTTCTTAAATATGCATCTATATTCTATGTATAGATCATCACAATGGTTAATCAATACCTTTGAAGTACCACAAAGTTCTCAAGTTTACGTAAGATGATTGCTTCAGCTTCAGTCTACAGAGTATTTTTGCATAAGACACAAACAAGAGTCCTCCCTGTCAGACTGGACCCAAAGTAACTCACTTTTACACTGAAATTCCACAAAAATGCCTCTGAAACACTTTAGTAAATAGCATTTGTTTGGCTCTTTCTTTGTTAACAAAGAATCACTGCTGCAAAGGTGAGACAATCCCTAACCCCTCAAATGGAAGGGCAACATCTGAAATCTTCACCTAAATTTGCTCCCAGAAATTTTACAGCCAAAGTTTTAGACTAGTTTATTTTAGTTCAGATGAGTTTCATTCTAGACTATTTTTTTTTCCAGACAGAAAATGCTTGAATCATTTGTATGCACCATATCCTCAGGGCTGTAAATTCAGCAACCATTAGATAAACACCAAGATCTAAAGCTGGAATAAAGAACATACCCTGCACCAGAGTCCACAGAGGAAAGAGCTCCTGTAGAGTCCTAGAAGGAATGACGACACTCTGCCCCAGCTCCTACCGGACAGGTGTGCAGAGAGAATCTAGATACAGCCATGTCTGTGTTCTGCTGAATCTGAGTTTAAACAAGGTTTGAAAAGTGGTTTGGTAAGTATTCTGTTTAATGTTACTCTAGCTCTAAAAAAAATAGCTACCATAAGTCATGACCTTATCATCAAGATTTAAACATCAAAACATCTGCACAGTCTTGAGATGAATTGAAACATTTTCTCAGAGCAGGTTACAGATGTGATCAACTTCTTAAAGCATGGCAAGTTAACAGTTTCATTGTGGCCATTTGTTCAGCACAGTGTGAGAGCATAAGACCATCTAAGCACTGCAAGATAAATTAAAACTCAAATGTGGAAAGGACTATTGAAAGTTATCTACATTTACAGTTCAATCACACATTTTTATTTAACATCAGTATACAGAGGACAACCCCAGCAAGTTATTTTGTAATGTCAAGTATTTAGTAAAGTTCTTCAGCTGTAACAGTGACAATAGAACAGCTAAAAATAAGCAGTATGAAACAAACATGATCTTCTTAAAATTATAAATATACCAACAATACTTCTTAAAGCTTAATTATTGCAACAGTTAAATTAACAATAGTTCATGTTAGAAAGGCTCTATGAAATTTATTCAAGTTGTCAAGAAATTAGATGGAAGTGTAAAAAGGAAATACATATGAATTTTACTTTTGATTTTCACTAAAGGTAGTCAATACAATTTTGTACAGTATCACCTAACATGTCAATCTTTAACAAACTCCAGTATACAGAATCATAAAATGCAGAAAAAATAGTTTAATCTTTACATGTAAATTGACAGTAAATTAACTGACACAAATTTTATTATTGTAACATAAGCAGGCCAGCATTTTAAATATTAATTTAGTAGTTTTATGTTGTTAAAGGGGCAGACAAATACAGTCATTCCAAGTACATACTCAAATTTTAAGAGGTGATAATTCAGAACATGGGTTTTCTAGAAAGTGTTTAGTAAAAGTCATGTTATTTCCTAATCCAGACATATCCTCATCATAAAGCCTTTACAGGGTTATGATCTCTCCTGGCTTTACTGGAGCCACTTGTCACACCTCCTCACACACGCGCACACACACATACCTTGCTATAAATATCACACCAGTGTACTCTAGGTTTAATTTACCCTGATAATGCGGGTATGCCATGTGCAACTTTGCTACTGTGCACATTACAGAAAGCTTCAAATTTTAGCATGGTAACCTGAAGTCATATAGCTGTGTTTCAGTTTAACTATAATCATCCCTGAAGTTTATACAGATACCGTATCACGTTGAAAGAAATCTATTTGATAGTACTTAAATACCAGCAATTGAACTTCAATTGTAATGATGAAATGCTCCTTTCCACTGAGGAAGAATTAGTATGTATAGCTGCTCGTCTCACTCAAATATAGTACATGAATGTGTAAGTACTTTCACTAAAACAGAAGTCATACTAAAACATGATACTGTACTACAATTGTAGTTAACTAGAAAATTCAAGGATGTTATAATTTAAGTCTAACTTTTCCTGTACAATAAATCAAATAAATAAATTTCATGTGCATTTGTTTTACAAAGTGGTAGGATGCTTCTCTTGCTAGGTTATACACTGCCATTTCACCTGGGGGTACTTCTGGCCAATCTTACCTTGAGCTTTCTGACACAGGGAACTCACCAGCGACTTTCATTCACATAAAATGGAGTCGTTGTACAAACAGTGGTCAGTTCTGAAGTCCAACACAGAAATCACCAAAGTAGTAACTCTGACCACCGAGTTCAGAGAAAACTTACTTTGCATATCCAAGTACCACTTTGGGGTTTTGTTGGGGTTTTTTAATTGCTTCTGCAGATCTTGTAATTCAGTTTGACATAGCTATAAAGATAGCAAATGAAGTTTACTTTTGTTCCTTCCAAATTCTGTTTCTAAATTTCCAGATTAATCCAACAGTTCTGTAATGCCATTTAGATTTCCCATCAGGGCCTGGGAAAGACAGGGGTGAGAGATGACAGCTAATTGTCACCATGTTGAGAAGAAAAGCTCACACTCTTGTTAAGGCAACCTATTTTTCTGATCGCCCTGAACCTTCTCTCACAGAAACCAAGCTCACAAAAAGAAAAAAAAAAATTTAAAAATTGAAACTAATGAACCCTGAGCCTCATCCAACTTGTTTCTAATTGAATTTTGCCATTCACTTCGCTTCACTGGCTGGGAGTTGGCAGAGCAGTTCTGGAAGTGCAGTGCAAGAACGGTACATCCTGTGAGGAAGCTCAAGGTATGATTTTGTACACACTGAAACAGTAATTTGGAAAGTTTATAAACAAACTGTCAGGACACTGTCAGCACTGTACAGACTATCAGCTATCAAGGGATCATGGCTGAAGAGACACTTCTGGATTTATTTTCCACTCAGGGCAGCACAAGCCCAACCAGAAAAATAAACAGAACTTGTCATACACTGTCCAATTATCCAGCGCATGTTTTGATGGCTGTTGGAAATGAGAGGGAAACGTAGCACTGGCTCAATGGAAATTACATTAGACACTGCAAGCCTCCTTTGCTTTTCCATCCAATTCTTTCTTTAGGCTGGCAGTGGCATCAATTTAATGAAGGCCTTTTGAGGCAATGATGGAAGCAGCAGCAAGATTCAGAAGCTTTCACTCTATAGAGTTGGCAGACAAAAAAGTGACGGAGCTTTAAGATCACTTGGGGAGCCATATGTCAAAGGAAGACTAGAAATAGCAACTTTTAACCCCAGAACAATGGGACATCCTAGGATAAAACAGTTGGTGAAACAGAAATGATGGTATATAACCCAGTAAGAAAGACATTACCATGAGTGTTTTATACTTTGACAATTCTCATTAAATAAAATTAAGTGCTTTCCTATAAACAAAAAGGATGCCCATAATGTCCTTCTGGCACAAGTATTTTCCTAACAAAGCCCTGTAAACATGCCACCAAAATTTAGTTTTTACCAGCAGAGTGAGCTCACTAGAAATGCAAGTGAAATCAGAAAAACAAATTAATTTGAAAATTTCTAAGTAAATACATCCTAAAGAAAATGGCATTTACATCAGTGTGCAATATATTAATTTTGAAAGTGATAACTTCAGCATGAAAATTACTTACCTGTAGTTAAAGTTTTCCATATTGGCCAATACATAAATCCTGATTTTTGGTACTGCATACTTTATCTCTGAAATATTTGAAATGTCATATTCCAAATCAAAGTCAATACACAAAAATATTTACGTTATACTCAGTCTAACAAAACCCACCTCAGCCACTGAAAATAAATGTGACAGAGTAGTGTTTAATAGTATGCAAAGGAGTTTTAGTACAAAAAGAAAATGTAGCTCACAATAGCAATCTGAGGCACTGCTGTAATTAGTAAGATGGGAAGTGCACTGAGTCACAAAAGTATAATTGCTTTAATACTTTCATTTTGAGCAAACATTTTAAATAATTTAGTGTTTTAAGAGAGTGCTTTTTTTTTTTTAAATTAATGCTGGATTTGTAGTTCTCAGGCAAAAAATACTTTTAGGTAACACCTTCCTCCCTTCTCTGATAAAGGAGCTTTCAATTTTAAGTTTTTAGATTCAACCTTAAATATGCATAAAGATGCAGAACAGACACAGATTCTAATGCATACCTATGTTGTGACAAATTTGGTAAGATCTCAAAAAAGCCTACATTATACAAAATTTTAAGAAAAATTACTGAGTTTTACTTGCAAGTTTATAGTAATGAAGATGTGGTATCTAAATATATACAGTACCTCTACTTCAAAAGTCAGATTTATGAACCAAATGGTTAAAATCTAACAAACAACAGATTTTCATTTAAGCTGCTCAACATGGCATTATTTGAGTATTACCAGATACTTTCTTTTACTTCAGGTGATAATCTACATCCCCCTTCAGAAATTTTCACAAAAATAATGGTTCTTTTTCTCAAATCAGCTCTGGAAATGTTTTCATAGCTGTGTTCCTTTGAACTGTTACTGGCTGGCAGAGCTATTGTAGCACAAAGTACTTTTTAATGTAAGAATCACCACATTCAGCTTCAGTCAAAATTTAGCTATCTATACATTGGACAGAAGAAAAATAAAATATAGGTGTTGAAGTGCATCAACAACAAGAGTGAAAACTAGTAACAGACTAATGTAGGTTCAGCCGATGGAACAGGTGCCATCAAAAACACGAGCTTGTAGTGGTTTAACTGCCTAACAAACCTGATAGGAACAGAATACTGAAAACAACTGAGAGAAAGCTTACAGGATTATCCCTAACTTAAATACATAAATCAAAACCTGGCTAAAATTAGAGTTCCTTGATAATACTGATTCACAATTCAAGAGCATAAACTACAGTCAGTACAGGGCTCACAAATCTGTGCATAAAATGGCTGATGTTTTTAATAAGAAGTGGTTTCACATTAATGGCAGGCCACCACCGAGAAGTATGGAGGAATAAAACACTTTGGTTTTCATTTTTTCAGAGGCTCACGTTTCTCATTAGACTTAGAAGCAGCAGCTTTTCATAAGCTACTCTCATTGGGAGTGCTTATTTTGTAGAAAGCATTAGAAGGATTATGATTATTTTAGTGTTTGACAGGTTTTACTTCAATTTTTACATAAATAGCTTTCACCATATTGTGGTTATGCTTAAGTATAAGAACACTGATCAATAGTTTAGATGCACAGTATTTATTTCTTCTGCTGGAAGGCAACTATATTTAATAATTGTATCCAAGACACTTCAAATCATTCAGAAATATGGCATGCAGTATCCAAAAGTATGGCTCTGAGGATATTTTTTTTACATTAAGCATAAAGAAATTTTATATTCAACATTCATTATATTTCAAGAAAACTATCTATTCAGAGTTCTAGTTCTTTGATGCAGCATTAAGGATTAAAACTTACCACTTTACCAGGCCTTGCCCATGTGCAAATAAATCCCTCCTGACAAGCAGTGACTATACAGTCTTCAAGAAAAATTAACACAGTCAGTCTTTCATGTGCTATCTTTTTACAGATAAGAGGCTCTAACAAGGGAACATCTTCCATTCGGGGACAGAGAGGTGTTCCCAAAGTTTTAGCTGGGTCCGTTTTGGTTTTAGTAACTAGGTTCAGTTTGTCACTGCTCTTGCTAGATATATGTCCCATGCTATGGTTTCTCTTGTGATCTTTTTCATGGTGTCTTTCCTTCCGATCGTGTAGCGATAAGGTTGCAAATTTACTAACGCCAGAAGCAATGGCACCATCCATGACACTGCTTTTACTGCCAGCGTTTGAGACTGCAGAGTGTGGAAGGCTGTTTGACCGTGGAAGAGGAGGGGGTACAGAGTTTCCAGGTGTTGTGATACTGTTTCCATTACTTCCTGGGTTAGTTCCACCACTTCCTGCAGGTGGACTTGTGGCATTCATGACATTTGTATGTGTCCTTGCTCTTGAGAGAGGTTGGTGGGGGAAGAGGATATCTTCTGTAAGATCCCACAAACAGAGCTGTGTGTCCTGGCCTACTGAACCAAATCTGTATGTAACACTTACTGGACGACTGTCTGTAGAGTTCCTTTTGGATAGTCTAGATTGCGTGCTATTTGCTCGATCTCTGCCAAAATGAAGGTCTTGGAAATCCTCATCACTTCCGCTAAATTCCATCGGATCACTCTCTTCTACACTAGTGGTATATGGATCAAACGCAACAACACTGACCCACGATTTATGTCCGTGGCCTCTCGCTATAACTCGACAGTCCACGAAAGACCAAACTGTCACCAAGTCATCCTCTCCGCCTGTCACTATGTATTTCCCATCGGGGCTCCAACACACACATAGCAATCCTCCAAAGTAGCTTTTCATTGTACCATGCAATTCCACTGAATCAAAGTTAAACACGCGAAGAAAACCATCCTGGCTCACACACGCCAAGAACTTCCCATCAGGGGAAAAGGCAAATTCATTCAGGGCCCCCTCACCTACTGTCCATTTAAGCAGAGGGTTTCTTGTGGATTTACTCTTGCAAGTATGCACTGCAAAACTCTCTCCTTGTTTAAGTAGCTGGTAGTGCGGGGCTGTGGTACCACAAGTGTGCTCCACGTTATACAAGTACATATTGCCACTGGAATGAGCTACTAGGAAAAGGCTTTCCGAACCTGGTACCCATTTTACACAGGTTACTCGGGACTTGTCTATTAGTCTCTGTGAAAAACAAAGAAAATACACATCAGAAACTCTGAAAATTAAAGTTTTCATTATTACCTGTAAATCTGAGCTTTCTGGGGATTACGAGCAATACTTAAATAAAGTAAACTTAACTTTCTAAACAAGAACTACATTACTGTATTTGCAAATATTTATCAGGCAGTAAAGAGGGAATTATTTTCGGACAGTGCTTTCAAAGGTTATTATTATGGTCCAGTCACATTCCACAAAGACCATCCTTCAGTTGAGCCAATCTGTTACGAATCTAAAGACAGCGCTCTTTGATTTACTTTTCCCTGTGTAGGTTGCACAGCATGAGACAGAAACAAGAAAACCTTGAATAAGCTAAAGGGAAAAAAGGCAGTTACTCATCTTATTATACAGCAAACAGGTTACAAATCAACAACAGTAAATTTAGGACTCTGATTTTATCTGAAATCACAAATAAAATCCAGCCTCTGAAAAAATTCTACTAGCTTTTACTAGTAGGGAGCAAAGGCTGCATACACAGCGACCCTGTAATCATGTGGCTGGAAAGTCAGTAGGTAAATGCAAGGGGCTGGGTGAATTCACAGGGCACCACAAACTTTTCACCTTGGAATCCCCAACCTCTCATTATTTTTCTTTCAATAGCCAAGGACCTGTCAATACTCTGTTACCACTTGATTAAGCACTTTCCTTTAAAACAAAACATGTTAATATAATTCATCACTGCAAAAGAATGCACACACATTAAACATTCCTGGTCATAATGTCTTCAATGATCTAAGAACTGAGAGGTAAAGTTTGACTTCTAGGATACTGTAGTTATGGTGGACTTCCACAACTTACCATGTTCTCCATGGCACCACTCAACTGCAATTTGCAGACAAGTAATTCTTTACAAGCACATTCAAGATTTGTATTTGGCATATTGATTGTAAGCAGAAAGAAGAGCTGAGCTACACAAAAGGTAAGAGTGCAAATATAAAGAGCCTAAGGAATACCAGAAAAAGTTACAAATGCCCTAAAACAAAGAAGAAAAAAGAACTCACCCAAAGCTTTGCTATGCTGCTTACACACAAAAATCTCAAATTAATGGCTGATGCATTAACTGTTATCTGTTGTGGAACTGTCACTGGAAAGCAGGAACTGGTTATTTTAGATTACACTTCTGCTACTCTCAACCTTGATGTAAAACCAGAAAGCCTCTCTCCTGCAATTTCTCATTGGTTAAAACAGCTATGGTGTATTTGAGAGATGTAACTAAATATGGCAACGTTCCTTCAAATTGAATAGTTTTAAAATAATACAGTCTATGGTTCTATAGTGATATTTTAACTAGTTTGTCATGTATTCACTAATATATGTCACACATGTCTCAATAATGATGGTATCAGAAACATCAAAAAGAAAATGACCTGGCACACACCAGGAGAACATGGGCAGGGAACGCCAGCACAGATGGTTGCCCATAGGCACCAGTCTTCTCACTGCCAATGTGGCAACAAAAGCAGAACTTCTTGCTCTCTACCAAAGCAGCTCAATCTGACATACAGCCTCTACTTAAGAGCACCTGCTCAACTTTTATACCAGAAATGGCACTTTATGTCCATAACCATGTTGGGCTACATGATCCTAAATACTGCAGAGAAACCCTGCAAAACTGATCTTTACTTCAAGGAGGCTGTGAAAAATGGAAGATTACGATTTGCAACAAGAACAGATCAGCTAATGGGAGACAAGATGCAGAGACACTTTAACCTGACATGAACAAGTGACTACAATGCCTCCCCTTCTCAAGATAAAAACTCTGAAGTTATGATTTTTGGGAGTTTTAGAGGCTTTCAACTGGGTTAACAAAGTTCTGCAGCACAACAAACCCAGACCTGCAGTCAGTAGGAGCAGCAGATGCATTACAAGAATGGCAGTGTCAGCAAATCAGTGAGGGATGTGAGATAAAGAGCTTATGTTCAGTTTGACAGAAAAATAGTAAGTGAAGAAGCTTCACTCAGCAGTCAGAAACATGAGCCAAGATTATCTTGGTTTTGAAGAACTTGAAGGGACAGAATTACAGGCACAGGCCACAAAGGACTGAAAAACCTGAGGCAACCAACTACAACCTGGAAACAACTGAATCTGTGTGGTATTTTCTTACTCCCCAAACCAGTCAAATATATCAGTGGTTTAATTTTGACACAGCTGGAAGGAGTACCACTGTGGATACACATGGATTTAGGTAGGCAACCACAAGCTGCACAGGATCTATCACTCACCTCAGCCTTTCAAGTCCCTATCATCTTCTACATCAATAGAATTTTTTAAAAAATTAATAACAAGTTAAGACTATGCTAGGGCTATTGCATTTTATGTTCAACATAACCTATCATAACAGGTTGATTTATTTAATGTATCATATATATTCTGATTGCTATTCTGTTTACCACAGCTGTTAGTCAAAGCAGAACTTTGGGCTACCTGAAGCACCAAATTGCTCACAGGATAGGTGGTGAATTCTATTACCTCTAGCATGAGTGCTGGATCTGTAGAACAATGTTAACACTCATTTAGACCATCCTGTACCTACAGTTATTCCGACTGTCTAAACTCAAAATATATTCAAAATCCAAAAGGCACCTTCATCTTGAAGCAAATGAGCTGGTTCAAACATCAGTGCTCACTAATGTTTCTCTGAAAGGGGTTTTGAATACAAGCCAGAACTTACAAACACATCTAGGGCAAACTTCAATACTGTAATTGACAGAATAAAAATATATATATAAGTTTTAGAGTTGGCTGTAACTGCAGATAAGGTCAGCAAATTTGTCATTTAACTGTAGCCTACTGTGTGTGTAGTTTTGGTAGCACTGAGCAAATCCTTACATTAGCTTGGCAGAAGAAAAATCACCTCATTCAAATTTCCACTGAACTGTCAAAGGGCGTATTTCCATCATACTGAAGTAATCTGCCTATAGTACAGACAAAAAGCAATACTGGCTGATGGAAGTGATTTCAGTGCTTCCAACATTTGGGGAATACCACAGGAACTATTCAGCCTGCAACACAGCTTTGCACTGTAGTCACCAGACAGTAACCACCATCAAGGCCTGGAAACGTGCACTGTGCTTTGATGTAAGTATCCCACCAGAAGGTTCTTTAAAGGAGCCATAGCTCAGATACAGGTGTGGGAACTACTCTGTGATATGAAACCAGCTGTTTAGAGTATGTCTGCTACCCTTCTTAATAGCTACATTATCATACAAGAATAAATAAGACACTTTTTGGGGGAGCTGGATGGGGGTGGTAGGACAATGCTGAAATTAACATTTCAACTACTTACACAGAGGTTTCTAACAGACAAAAGATTCATTAAAAGATTCTCCAGCACTATTTCCCACTCAAGCAGAGACAGAGCATTTGGGACAAGGCCAGGTAGGAAGAAAAACGCCCCTCTTCTGATCTACATGTAGCTACTTTTAGAAAGCTGAGGAGGAATTAGATCTAATTATAAAACATCCCCAGTGAGAACAATACTTCAATCTTCTTTGCACAAGAAAGGAGCAAGGCAACACATCTCTCTGAGGCGGGAAAGATATACTTTGAAAGCTGAGCAAGGCTTAACTTCATCTGTAAAGTTCTAATCCAGTTTTGAAATCTCAAAAAAGAAAAGAAAAACAAACAACAAACAAGAGACCTGCAAACCTCTCTACAGAGCTGGATTAAAACAAAAAAAAGGAGCAAAATAATAATTCTTCCCTTCCCTCCCCTGCCCCCCCCCCAAAAAAACCACCTCCACCAGACCAGCCAAATTCCCATAGCTTATCTTCTGCAGAAAATGCTATCACAAGTTACTGGACTTCTTTCCTTACTAGCATCCAGACACACTCCTCTAAGAATGTCAATGCTACCAGGTACTCAGAGCCAGTCATCCTGTAACTTGGCATTAGGGCTCCCCATAGTATTCTTTCTATCTTTCCATCTGCTTTTTCTGCTACTATGCAATATGGAGTTTCCTTCCAAACGTCACATAACCAAGACCTCACAAACCCTCAGCATTCCTGTGCACTCAGCTTTATATCCTGCTCGTATCCAAGCAAGCCTTTAGGAATATTTGATATAGGCAGTTTCTGCTGTAATGTCCCAGCCATAATAATTTGTATTCTTAACTTATCGTAAATTAAAAAGACTATGAGTTGAATAGTGGCTTAACATTTTCTTCTTCATTGGCAACCTGAAGCCCCAGAAACAACAGAATTCAGAGCACATGCAGCAACATTTAGATTTGTAGACCTTGTTTCCATCTGTAAACTGTTCTCAACTCTAGTTACAGTTTTACCCAAACTAGAAAATCCTAATTTTTAATCTTAAACCCCACAAGATGCCTTTATCTTTTCACAATGAATAACATTCTAATGTAAGTACTCCAAGCCAACAGAACAGCTGAAAAACAAAGGCAGTGACTGAACAATAAGCTACACAGGCAAATAGAGCCAGATCTACTGAACTTTGAAAATCTAGGAACTTCAGTATCACAGATACATTGCATGCAACAATATTAAGATTTCTACTTACTTCCTCATTAAATAATTTGCTAGTTTCTTTTTTAATAGGGTCTATAAGTTGGACCTGGCCTGCAGAGAAGCCCACTAGAAGAGACACACTTTCTGCTGTGGCTGTTAAGTGATTGAAGTCATGGCATGTAGGCTGTGTTCCTTTGTATATCCTTTTGTCTATCGGTTTACTCAAGTCCGCAGCCTGCAAAGAGAGCAAACAGAATTCAGACAATTTATCACAATATGTGCACATAACCACATCTATTTGAAAGCAATGTTTATACCACACAACAATTTATGCAGTCACAAAACCCTACTTTAAAAAGCATTTATGAGACACCCAAGATCTTATCAAAGTTTTCTCTCTATTACGCAAGTACACAAACTACACCTGCCCTTGCACCTACAGCACATGACAAACCAATGACAACCACTCAGTAGCACAAAGGCTCTTGTGAGTCCTCAAGATACCAGAAGGCTTCTCCTGTCACAAGAGCCATCACAGAGACAAGGTATCTTCTAATTTTCTAGTAGCACTTTCTCAGTACAACCAATTTTGCATTAAAAATACCATAATCACACAATTCTTGAACTGTAAGTCTATCCTTTAACAACAGGTAAACAAATGATATTATTCTCCATAATCACAAAAAATTATCAACCAGCTCTAAAGAGAGCATTTTCTAGGAACAATGACTGAAGATACTGATACTTTGATTATAAAATACATTTTACACCACTGAGCTACAAAGTAATTTGCTTCTGAAAACAAAATTCAAATATAGCTCAGACAAAATAAGTGCTAACAAAACTGAGGAATTTCAATATAAACAAATTAAGATATAGCACTAAGTGTCAGAATAATCAAAAGGAACAGAAAAGCAATTTTAAAGGCTCCCTCGCTTGTGTCACCCGTGTTTATCCCCATATCATTTCTGAACAGACAACTAAAGCTTTCATCATCCAGAGATTAAACCCCACACATTTAATATGCAAGATCATACATCAGGTTCAACCTTGTTTTTTAACCTCCCTATTTACTACGTTCAGAGTCTGTAATTAGAAATCTGCAGATACTCAACAATATTACAGGCCTCAGATGTAGCTGTGATTTGGGGCTCAGATTCTAATTTTGATATATACTTTTTCAGTATATTTAGTCAGAGGAAATCAGGCCAGCAATTAAAATAAACAAGCTTCACATAAAATAGAATTGCTCCAGAGCATTAAACCTTGGAGGACGAGGTCTGAAGAGCAGCAGATCTTTGGTATTCATAGAGCTACACCAAGAGAAAGTAGACCTGTCAGTAGGGAAAAATTCTAACCAGCTACACAGGTGAGCCATTTCCAAGGCAAATTTAACTACAGGATATGCATGACAAGCATTTATACACAACAGTATTAAAGTTGCACTTATGTTTTGCAGCATATATTATAAACCAGTTTAATCAGGTATACAGTCTCCTGGTTAAAAACTCCAAAATGAGATGATGTATTACAATTTCTAAAGTCAGCAGACAAAAAAGTTACTCCCCAGAGTCCTGAGATCCATTATAAGCTAAAAGAGAATATTACCAATGCCTCTTCAAGGAGAAATTAAATAGAATACTAGCTCTACTGGGAGATGGCAGGATAATGTGCATGCCTGCCACAGAACATTCACAGGCTGATTGTAAATTTGTGATCTGAATCTGAAAGATCAAATTCTAAAGGCCTTAAAGTTACGTCTTAGACTGTGCAACATTCCCTTATCCTGTATCACTACAAACAAGTGATGACAAGAGAGAACTCCCAGAATTGGGGTAGCATTTCTATCTGGAAGAGCAAGCTACACAAACACATAGCCATACCTCAAATAAATGCAGAATTAAAGCAAGCCTATCAGACTTGAAGTTCTTTCCTCTGGACAGAAGTTGCAGGAGGACTCAATGCTTAAGAACAAAGATCCATTCTGAAGTAAATACAACTTGGCCTGAATCATGCTGAATGACCAGAGCACCACAGACTCTCCCAGCCAGCAGAGGATACAGGCATTACCACCTTCTTTTGAATCCTCACCGTCCTTTTAAGCAGCAAAGAACCAATAGCTGGCTATGTTCAAACTATACCTTGCTCTTTTGTCTGGGCGAGGTTTTACATCACTAGCTTTTGTTTTTGTTGTCCAACAACTTTGGCGTGACTGAAGTTCCCCATCTCTTGAAATTGTGTGGTAACAGACCTAGCAACACATGGAATTCTGATAAATTAAATCTAAGCACATACTTCACTGTGCTTATTCTAGCTGTTCTCTGGGAACCAGATGGCACTGAGAATCTGTCTGAACTTAAATGAAGTATAAATAAACTAATTCAACCCAGAATTAACCAGGCTTCTGCTGACAGGAATGCCCCGCCTTTTATTTACATGCAGCTACTGCTTTCAGTTACAGCATAGTTGTCTCATGGAGGTAAGTCAAATTTACAAGCACTAAAGTACTGCTTCGGACTAGATCTCTCTTACCTGAAAGAGAGTAGAATCAATGGGCACAGGAACTAGGAGACATTTTCTTTATTTCTCCATGGAGATTACTATTGGATTGTGCTAAGAACAAGGAAAGTGCTTACTCATAAAATTCAATCATGCCTGGGACTCAGTGTTTCATTAGCTCACCACTAAACCCATTTGCTATTTTGTGAAAGATGTGATTGTCAGAGAAAAGCTTTTACATGAGATCTGTGTCCATAAAAAACTGTCAAATCCTCGGATCTGACACGCTACTGAACAAGGTGATATGAACTGCCTCCCACTTAGAAGTGGTGATGTACTTTGAAAAAACCCAGAAAACTCTTGGGATTAAGTATGGCCAGACATGGAGGTTAAAAGCACAGGAGCACCCTCAACCACAGCAGTTGGCAGCAAGCTATTTGCACACTTCCTGTCCCAATGCCTTTAAAATTTTCTTCTGAAAAACACTCAGCACTATTCCAGCCTGTCCACTCCGAGAAACTTCCTCAATTGTGGATGATTCATGATGACAGCAACACTTTCAGTAATGACGAATGAAAGCAGAGAGGGGCAGCTGATGCAAGGCAAGGAATATCAAGACCATCCTTACCTGTGCAAGCCTTCACCTTGCTAATCAAGACTGGGACCGGCACCTTGGCCAACTGATACCTGTGCTAAAAGTCTGTTCCTTCCAATATACAGAGGTACTGTAACCCTGGGCAAAGAGACATGGAGTAACAGCTTTTAGACAACAACAGAAACCTCACACACCTGTATAAAGCCAGCAACACAGCTGAACAAAATTGCTGTACCTTGAGCATCAGCAGCTTCCAAGTCCTGCCCCTGAACTTATTAAAACTCTACCTTAACAGAACCTCACACTTGCTCACAGAAGAAAAATTGAACATTTAGGTTTGTGTGATGAACTCATATTCTAGAAATAAAACATGAACCATATAACTGTTTGGGGGACTTCCTACTCTCATTTAGTTAACTCTCAAAGCACACTATTTAAGCAAAATTATTCCCACTCTGCTGGGGAGGGAAAAAAAATAATGTAACAGTCTAACAGTAGCCCATTCACCCTGGATTCATGACTTCCAGTAGAAGGGCAGTCAAATGGAACATATTAATCACAGCTTTAACTACATTAAGAAAAAAATGACAGAAAAAAGCCAACAAAAAACACTTGCCTTAGTCTGAAGCAAATATTTAAGTATTCAGAGTCTGATGTCTGAAATGTCTGATTAGAATGAGCATCAATAACCTTGGTTCTGTAGCTGTACGTAATTCTAAGGTCAAACCCAAAGATTAATATCTATCCAAGATTTATTTTATTGATCCAAGACTTAGAGCTTTCATAATAAGATTGCCTAAACAGTAAATCATATTATTTTAAGTCAGCATTTAATCACACTCCTTGACAGATGCTATTTCTTTTCTTTTCCTAACTAACAGCTAATTGCAGCTTTCTGAAATTTTACTTGAATGAAATGTGTCATACATGTTACAATTCTTTCCAAGCTGAAAACATTGCCACAATATTAAATTAATTGCTTTGTTAATTTATTCCAGGTAATTTCAACTATATTCATCAAAAGGTTTCCATTAGATACTTAACAGTATTTAATATTAGATTTACCAGGAGACTGGCTTTCAATGGGTCATAGCTGCTAGTGAGATTGAGACAAAATAGTGAAGTATTTAATAAAAATTTTGCTGCCAAAAATCCTCTTAAGGAAATCTCTCTTGTCCAGAGAATTAATTGATTTTGAACATCAGATCACAGATTGGGTATATAGTGCAGCTCTAGTGCACAATAAAAGACACACAGAACCAAGACAGTGTACTTTTGAAAACAATTTCCTCTGTATTTCTGGAGCTTGGAATTCCTAAGTGATTACTTGTAACTTGCTATCTCTTCCACACCTTGCTGTCCAGGGATTTAATAGTCCCTGGTCTAGAAACAGAACAATTTGAGAAAGCTGTGCTTGTCACAGTGCTGTACAAGTAACAGGAGAAATCAACTCTTAGAATTATTACTAAGTGAGTTTCTTTGAACTTCACAGCTGCTCTTTAAAACTTAGCTGCAAAAAGAGGCAAGGCAACCTTGCTGAAGTCCTCTGCTTTACAGCATCTCCTGTGAATAGGACAGAACCCTCCCTGACTTGCTCACTGCATTAATAAGGACAGGAAAAACTAAACTTGTTTATTCTTCCTCCTTGTCTGTGCTGGTCTCCTTCTCCTTCCTGCAGAGCTAGCTGAAGAGAGAGAACACTGAAAAACATAGGAAAGCTGAGTTATCCCAGGCACTTTTGTAGAATTTTCTGGCCAATTCCATTCCTTGTTTATGTACACAAATTTCTGACAGAAATACCAGTGTCAATACTTCACACTGGAAATCTCTCTATTACCACAGGAGTAAATTTCTGGGTTTTTCTGTCTTATAGCCCAAATACAGGTCACTTAACATCATCAACAGAATAATTTGTAGTTACATCACTGTTGTTTCAAGCTGATCTGATCTCGCAGCTGACCCTGCTTGGGGCAGGTTAGACTGGAGACTCTCAGAGGCTCCTTCCAACCTGAATAGCCCTGGAATCATAAGCTTAGGATCAACCAAAGCAGCAGCAACAGGGCCACTCCCAGCTTACTTAACAGGTCTGGTTTGCATCCTAAAGGAACTTCAGGAAGCAAGAAATCTCCAGGAATAAGTTGGTTGTCTTTCCCTCTAAAGACCACTGATGTAGGGCAAAAGTTCTGCTTAGTTTATATAAAATACACAACAGAAAATCCAGGCAACACTTCCTGCAAGTACAAAGCCCTAACAAAACACTCTTCAGTG